CTTCTACATTTATATTCTCTATCAGCTGTAATGGGACAGCATCACAGCATCACTGATAGCCATAAATCCAACTACAGTACACATCACAAAAGCAATTTCTCTGTTATACTTAGGCCAGAAAAAAGCACCCTTTAAAGAAGTTATGTCTACTTGGGACCTGAATTATATAGCTTGATCCCTCAAGAAATGAAAAAAAAAAATACAATTCCCATAATTCAATCAAATCAAAAATTAGGGAATGGATAAACTCCCAATGACGCCTTTCCATCCATCAATTCATTGATTTAAAAAAGTCTATAACAGTATGTTATAATGACAAACAAGTTGAAATTGACAACCATAATTTACATAGAAATTGTTGCTGTATAAACTACTTTTTATAATTTTCCCACGATATTTTATATCTTCTATCAACAACATAATTTTTAAATTTTATATTTGCAAGACTGTTGTTATATTTATATTTACAACACTAATTTTTATATTTTATACATTTTACAATTCATATTTTATTTTTATATTTTTTTCAATTTATCTGATATAATATCGAGATTGTGGATCTACCTAGACAATTTTCACTGTAGTCAAGGTTCGCCTTTTGGTATTTTTTCTACTTTGACCAGATCCGCAATTAGGCTAATTATACGCATCGCTTTTACTTTTGTCTGCTTTTATAAAAAATATTTTATAATCTCATACCAATTCAATTGTATTTTTTAAGGTATATTTGAGGTATTTCAATATTATTATTTCTTTCATCTGTGGATTCATCTGGTCATATTTATGGACTGTATAAGTAAATATAAGGCAAAACTTACGTCATATGAGTGTAATTTTGTATAGAGTAACTCTTTGATATATTTTGCTTTTTTCTTTCTTCGGAAGTTCTTCATATTTTTGTGCAAAGACAAAGAAGTAAAAAACTTTATTTTCTCGTACCATTCTGATTTGCATACAAATGGTTGAACTTTTCTGAAGAATTGCAAATATTACAAAAAATAAATAATTTTTATTGTTCAATTTTCAATTGCTATTCATTTCAATTCCATTGATTCTTTCAGAGATTTCAAATCATTTTATATCATATTGGACAATGGAAGTCTGAAATAATGAAATTCAATATTTTTATTCGCTGTTCAGGTTTCTAAACCTTTGTTTGTTATACATAAATTGTTCATGTGAAATCATTTTTATTAAATTAGTATAAATCAGGTCTGAATCAAAATATTCAACGCTACATGTTGCATGAAAACCACAGAGAGCTCTCAATTAATTTTTTTCCTATTGAACTGAATTCTCATTTCTCACGATAATCTTTCTTAATGACCATATAATGGACAGGTGAAAATCGAAGCGAGTTTTAAAAGGCTTACCCGCTTCTTTCAGTCTAAATGACAAATTTCCGTTACTACTAACTGAATTATTGGAAATCTTTGGCATTAGACATATTTTGCATTATTCGTGAGAAAACTAAACTTATTACATTACCACATGTCTCGTATTAAGTGACATCTTAATTTATCTTTGCAACATATAGTTGTACAATAAACAATGCTTGCAATGCTTACAAAAGCAAAAGTTCAAAAAACATCAATCTGATTCTGTAGATGAAACAAAGCGAAAAAATAAGATAGAAGTTGAAGGCTGATTACCTATTATAATTGTTTGAATGAGTAAGACAAGACTAAATAAATATTACTGGAATTGTTTCCCAACACCAAACCGTTATTTCAACACCTCGACACGTGTTTCGATCACCAAGTGTTCATCTTCAAGAGGAAGATGATCAGTTTGATCTTCCTCTTGAAGATGAATAATTGATGATCGAAACACGTGTCGAGGTATTGAAATAACGATTTGGTGTTGGGAAAAAACTGCAGTGCTATTCATTACTACACCAAAGGTTCCAAACAGTGCATCACGAATAAGACAAAATATTTAAATTGAATGTTTTGGGCCGTATGTATATTTTTTGTACTGGACAAATATTATTCTAGGTCACAAGTTGAATTTCGTGTTTACAGATATAAAACAAAATATGAGCGGAAGCTCAATGGGCTTGAAATGACGTGAAGAAAAATCAGTGTTCACAGTTATTTTGCGGGTTTTTTGTCCGTGGTCTACAGGTTTTAGGCCTGACGTTTCATCTACTACGGCGGTAGACGTATCAAAGACGTTGATATAACGGTCGAAGTGATTGGGTTGTTTTGAATACAGAAACTACAATTCTGTATTTTGTCTCAGATTTTATACTACCATATAGATGGGTACGGCTCCTTTTCTCTCATTTGGATTGAATGGTTTCGTTTGTGTACAATTGGGGACAGGTAGCTGCTACTTTTCCTGATGATTCAAACGTAGGAACTCATGAACTTTCGTTCAAAGAAAACAATTATATCTTTACGACTTGTGGAGAACTAGCACTAAGAATTTTCCTGCACAGCAAAATTAACTGATAGAATATACATTCCTTTTTTTAAACCATACACGCGCACCCAAAACTTACTTATATAATATAAAATTTTGAAAGTGCGAAGTGCAAAGAACTTTCTTTCTTCTTTGCAGGAAACAAAGAAACTAAAGTACTTTCTTACAGTCTCTCTACGCAAGTTGAAATATATAGCAGATGGAATCATACCTATTTGAGATGACCTCAAAAGTTTTAAAATTTTCAGTTTTTCGTATTTGAAAATTCCCAAAAAATACACATCGTCAAAAAAAAGATTCAGTTCCTTCAATAATCCATGGTGGATAAGAAGATGGACGTAACTGGGGATTTATTTATTGGAAAAATTAGAATGCATATCGATGGTTATTACAGTTTGGGTACGGGTTGCATGGAAAATTCATCAAATAATGCCTTGATATTTCATCAAACATAATTCATACATTTTCATATATTTTTACTAAAAAAAAACATGTCTGGTTTCAAAACTTATTCTTGTTATGCTCCTTGAGAAAAATGTTTTGTGGAGAAGTCGGAGTTTGTCATTGTTACGTTCGGTTTTCAGTTTTCTCAAATTTCATTCAGACCGATATTTCTTTCGAGGTTGCAATGGAGCAGGACAAAAATTTTGTTGGAATCTATCTGTACTGTTGAAAATTTTTGTAAAACTATAAAAGTATTCCAAAACAAATGGGCAGTTGAACTGAAAATCTGTGTGTTGCCAATAATACAATCTTCAATACGATTTGAGTAATTTACGACACAATATTTGGGATCCTACCACCTAAACTGAGTCGTAATTTTACAATCATCAAAAAATAACACTAAACTTTTTGTAATTTTATCAAATTCTTTGTAATTTTCTGAAACAAAATTGAACTGACCTGGGTAGTAAATTTACAATGCATTAGTATATTGAAACTGAAAATACATACTTTGTGAAAGGAAGTTTTTGGCCTTCTACTTTTCCATCTTGACACAAATGTGGACTTTTTTTTCGATTTGTGTCAGACAGTTACTTCTTTGCATGATCTATACATCTTTGTATATAGTTAATATTTTGAAATTTATAGCATGAATAGGGTTAGAATAAATCGTGCTGTAGTGAATTTACTAAACGTTATTTTATAATAAAAAAATGTTATGTGTTAATTCTTCCAAATCTTCTTTTGAGAAATATCTATAAAAATTTCAAACAGTGTGATAAGAATAATATTTCTACTACTGAATGTGAAATTGGGATTGCTTTGCATGTAGCAAATTGAGCACAGGGCCAATATTTTTCTTTATATGCCTTCTTAAACCCATCACAAATATGTATGCTTCTTCGAGGTTCTACTGATAGAAATTTTTCCGAAGGAAAGAAATATGTTCAATAATATACTTTGGAAGACTTTTTTTGTTGAGGAATCCAGAAGTTGACAGTAAGAAACATGTTTGGTAATTTATTGAATATATTATAGATTTTTTTAGAAATGTTAAATTTGGATTTAAAGCAAATAATTTTTATAGTCCTTCCATGAAGTATGAAAAATCGAAAGAGAATTTTCACTTTCGACAACCAATCAATAACCATTCTCAATTTTCGAATTGATTTGAAGTCAATGGAAGATATCTCGAGTTATATATGATTTTTATTTTCATTTAAAAATGATTGATTTAGAAAAAAATTGCATTTCTAACTTCTTCATAATATTCGAGAAATATAATTCACGATTAGTTAATAATTTTATAAGGTGTTTCTTTACAAAAAGTTAATAACTCCAGAAAAAGTATATTTTTTCTTAAAAAATAGTGATGAACATAGTAAGTCATGAGTAAGATCAACGCCAATATGATCCGCTGTTGAACTTCTATAATCTAGCTATTCCTTTATTTCTCTTTTCCCATTTCTCGGATAAATTTCGAGCAAACATACCTATCAAATAATCTGAATGTATTCAGAATCTCTGAAATTCAGCCCTTCACACACTCGCTATCGTTTCCTGTCACTATTTCCAGTATCCTAATGGTAACAACCTATAGTTACATAATACGGAAGTCACACCAGCAGACATTCATCAATAAATATATTTCCTCATCTAACGGAAAAACCCAGACTTGTTGCCTTTTCTCAAAATGCATTCACTCTCATCGAAAACCCGGAACCGCCACAAACACCACACATTTCCTCGCTACCACCTCATCATAACCAACCCTTCTGATCCTCGATCGCTCATGCTCGCGGTGATTCATTAAGTCCAGCTACCGGAATTCAGTAGAAACACACCGCTCAGCTGAGCATCAAATCTTAAACAATTCACAAATTATCAATTTGAATTTGTGAGTCACGCCCCTTTCCCCTCCGAAACTCCACCCCAAACCTGCGCCGGCAAACATCTAACACGCCGTGTATTCTGCCGACATCGGCATACCCCCTCTACAGCGCCTTGCTCGCTCTGACTCGCAGTAGTCTGCGCTCCGTCTCCGTCTGCATCTCTCCTACGCCCCGCGCGTAACGTTTGTCAGTATCGCATCTCGTATACTAAACCCAATCAACGTGTGGTATTGGCCAGTTGCGGCGCCGCTACGTTTTGACGCGAATGTCATTCACTATCATACAAGTCCCCACGTGAAACGGTCCACCGGACAAACCCGTTTAGTCAGTCGCGATGTTATTCTATGGTACCTGAGTCGGGATCATAAACTTCTGATGACAGTTTTATTTCTTCGAGCACGCGCCAGCGTTTAGTGTTGTGTTTATTGGTCTATAAAGTGCCCAGAGATATTTATGACTCTAGCTCTGACCGCGGAACCGCGCTATGTAATTTATTGTTGAACGTTTTCTGATTACCAAAACTAAAATGAGTTCGTACCAGTTCGTTAACTCCTTGGCGCAGTGCTATGGGCAGCAAGGGCGGCCAGGGGGCGACCAGCCTCACCAGGCTGCAAGTCCTGGAGGAGATTACTACAACCCCAACGCTGCTGCCTCTGGTTATCCACCAACTTGCTACTCGCCGCCCCAAGTAGGCCCACAGTACCCTCCACATCCTTATGCAGCACCTGCTCCTGGGCATAGTTTGCAGCCCATGGGGGACTACACCCAGCTCCAGCCCCAGCGCATTGCTACCAATCCTTCCCACATGCACCACGCTAGCCCAGGTGGTCAAAGCCCCGGAATGCTCAATGCCACAGCGAGTTGCAAGTATGCTGATTCAACTTCGTCTACTGGAGTAGCCTCTCCTCAAGACCTGAGCACTAATGGTCCTCCTACCAGGGCTACTCCTCCGCTATCCAGTGCCCAAGCGAGCAATAATGCCAACGCGACGATTACGTCTAAAAGCTCCGGACTAACTTCTCCCTTGTCAGTGAGTACTTCACCCTCTGGAAAACAAGTCTCAGGCTCCACAGTCTCACAGAACTTGTCCTCTCCAGCCTCAAGCACCAGCTCTACATCCAGCAACGAGAAACCCGGGGGGAACAACAACAACTCCAAAAGCGGATCTTCGTCGAATCCTCCCCAGATCTACCCCTGGATGAAAAGGGTGCACCTGGGCCAAAGTAAGTACTTACTGACTTATTAATGCGACTGTTTAATTTATAAAGCGAATGACATTGGCCATTTGTTGAAGACAAATCACTAGGTAAAGGTTACTGCTGGAAATGTTATTATAAAACCATTAATCAAAGTAATTGATACTTCGCTAGACGGTAATTGATACGTGCCTTGTTTTTCGTGCTATCGACTTGTAATTAAGTTTTTTTGTGAAGGGATTGAAGAGGAATATTTTAGCGTTATCGCTGTTTTATTCATGCTTAATGGAATTCTGTGGTTTTATTTGGTCTTTAGGGAGGACTGATATTTTTTTGTTTCCATTGATTATTTTTATTGAATACCTGAAAGAGAATGGAGAATGACTACAAACAACGACAGCGGATTCTACTATTTGTCCAGTATTTATGAAACAGTTTTTTTTCTTCAAGGTCAACCTGAATTAATGTATTAGAATTTCCATGATTTCCATCTGTATTATGGATAATTAGAAACACAATACTTTTATTGTTGTAGAAAGATATAAAAAGTAAACACTTAACTACTTTTTAATACCTTTTTATGGACCAAATTTCTCAAAATTTGTTTAATAGATATAAAAATCGAGTAAAAATCTCCTTAATTGCACGTATTCAATTTGAAATAAAAGCACGATATCAATTTTCTGTTTAAGATGATAACAATTAATTTATATTTGAAATGAAAAGTTTAAGAAGAATTAAAAAAATCTGTGATATGATCACCAATAAATAACTTCAAGTGGATCTTGATCAAATGAAAAAGTTGTATGAATCCTTAAGAAACAATAATAGAAGTTTCTTCATATTGAAAAACAAATAACAGAAGTTGAATATGCAGTGGTTCAATACGTAGGTATGTTTATTTGAAATTGTTAAATATACAGTAATAGGTACTCAGATGAACTGAAAATATTTCGTGAAATTTTTCTGAAACGAAAAAAAGTTTTATACTTTTCAACTAGCATTTTTATTAATTTAAAAAAAATTCATGTATTGTTGAAGAAAACCGAAATCAAATGATCACTTCACTAAATCAAGCATATTGAAAATTCCATTATTTATTTTCTTCTATTTTTCATAAGTATTCGAGTAGTATACAGGGTTTATTATCAATAGTATTCCGGCTTATTTAATTCATTCATAATTCATAACATCAACAAAATGTTTAGCTATTTTATTCGTAAATGAAAACATTCCTGAAATATATGGAAACTGATGAACTGAAACAAGATAATCAAAACTGAGAAGTTGGGAATATGTGAAATTAGAACTGCTACAAAAATATATTGGTCAAACTGAACAATACATTGAAACTCGTTCCAACATGCAGAAGCAGCTAGTGCCGCTCTTTATAATTTGGAGAACGGTAATTGAACATGAATTCACTACTCAAGATACTGCTTGAGATTGTATATGACAATATATTTCTGGATCCAAGTTAGAAAGCTTGAAAATAGCGTAGTTTGGTATAAGAACTATAAACAGCGGTAAATGTCTCAAACAACTATTTTATCACACTTTTTGGCATATGACTAAAAAAGTTCTCAATTGAAAACGATATATTTTTTCATTTTCTAGTATGTCTCCATCTGAAGGTTCTACATTTTTTTTTCGTATTTGATCGTAAGAGATTTTGGAGACAAAAATCTGTAACTCGTTTTCCAACCAAATAAAATGTATGTCATCACATACCTACTTATTTATTCCATTGTCGTGGGTAGTGAAATTACAATGAGTTCATCTACTCATTCTTTGTTATTATTTTTCAATGTTAATGAACTCAGAACCAAAGTCGAATACCATGCAAAACTTATATATTCGTCTTCTGTCATTCTATGATCCTTCTGAGGATCCTCCGCATAAACATGTTCAGTTAATGGACAAGAATTAACATTTCGTCTGCAGTCGCTTTTGTGCGAAGTAATACGGCTCCCATATATGCCCCATATATGCCATATATGCCCCATATATGTTTCAGAACAATCCATACAAAAAATTGTGTATACTGAATTTTTCTTCATTCAAAATTGGAGTTTTGTGCTTACTGTATAATTTATATATAATGGTTAAGTACATGTCCTTTTAACACAATAATTAATTTTTGGATTGACTCGTGAACATATGGAAGCGGTTGATATAGAAATGAAGGTATAAAGTTATCATGTCCAAATGTTTCAGTATTCTGAAGGATTATTTTCACAAATCAATGAGTAACTCATTGATTTTTTAGAGTGACTAGATTAATATTTCACAAAATATTAAAATATATTTGAATCAATACCAGTCTCTGAAACAATCTAAAACATATTAATAAAAAATAATTACCAATAATTCTCCATTGCTTAATTTAAAGTATTACTTACTGCTTTATCAAATTAATATAATTACAGGGATATATTTCATGTATTCCTGTTTTACTGAACCACAATTTTACAATAAGAAATGTATTGTTATAAAATTAACTTGTTACTTAATACCATTATCTACTATTACTGTAACTACCCATGTAATTTTCAACAAGTTTATTGTGTTTCCTTTCAAATGCAAATAATTCAATCTTCCATGCATCCATTTAGATCGAATACAAGTAGTAACAAATGCTTCCAATTACGTCGTGATATCTTCAACAATTGAAAACAATTCATAAATCACGCACAGTTTGTTTTGAGTGTACAGCTATAATAATTATCATAAGTCTGCAGATCCGACGTAAATCAAACGTATGTGTCATTAGGTTATAGGGCTGGTAGACTCGGTAGTAGGTAATAAATCAGGCGGTACATTCGACCTTTAGGGCCTTAGATCAAAGCGACCACTTCACTCCGTTTTCAGTTTAAATAGTAACGAAGGAGCATCGAATGAGTCACGTGGTTTTTCTCAGCGGAATGTGTGTTAATTTTTTGAAAATAATAAAAACAAAATATGAACATTTTGTCGACTACAAAAAGGACCACAATTTGAAGATATTCACTTGTTCATGGGTGCATTTATTATATTTTAACACTTAATTCAACTTGTTCCCTTAAAAAAATTGTACTCTTACTCTTGTGAAGAAAGTTATTATTATTATTATTATTATTTATTATAACAACAATAGTTGAATCTATAACAGATGTTTCCCTATATGCCCGTCATCATGGTACTAGCCAAAAAAAATTTTTTTTGTAATTTTTGTATCATCAGAAAAAAATATTTCTCTTTTATAGTACCCATTAATAAATCACTTCGTAAATAGCTATTAAATGAATAAATTGCTCTTGTTATCATGTTTCAATCGTATTTGACAGGTAGGTAGTATGTCTTTAATATCAAGATTGCGTCATCAGAGTCCTAAGCTCCGTCAAGAGTTCCCCAGGGCGCCAACCTGGCCCTACTTTTGTTTCTCTTACTGATAAATGATCTAATTGATTTTCGTAGATGTTCAAGTTTAATGTATTAAAATCGTAAGTTAACTAGTATTAGAAATATGAAACTTCTGAAGTTGAACTTGTAACAATTAGTAGTTGGTATCCAGGGAAAGAGAGGATTAATCAACTTTTTTGTCAACAAGGGATTCTTAGCCAAGCCTCGAAGAGAGAAGCCACGCTTTTTGATGCTCCATAATTCATTGAATTAATTGTGATATTTATAGAAGATATTTTATGAAATTAGGTCTAGATATCAATAATTATAGATATCCAGATAAATATGAATAAATGTAGATAAATACTGCACTTCCACTCACATAGACCTTGTTGAAACCAAGGAACTTAGGATTTATAATGAAAGCAATATCCTTGCTTTTGAAACCCTTTACTGCAGCTTAGTTAGGTTCAAACTCTCCTGTATATCTCCATTGTGATGTATGTATAAAAGAGTAAACATATTAGTACGCTGGAAAGCATCCAATGAATAAGTATGCCGTCTTCAGTAGATTTTTTTCATTTTTGTGTAAAGCCACTTGAGGTGTAGATTAAAATTACTCATTGCCACGATTATCCCATCTTTTCCATATTCCCGTTTGTCACAAATTGAATTCAATTTATGAAACCTTTACAGATTCTGCTATATTTCAAATTACCAGAAATTTATTTCATTATTCAACATTATCTTCTCATTCATTACAGCGAACTTACGTTTCTAGACCTTTGAAAAAATTGTTTTTTCTCTACAAATAGGCCTCCACAATTTTTATCACTTTATTGTTAAAAAAATATGCAACATGCGATTTGTGACTAAATTATAGAAGTTTGAGATGAAGGAATGAAATCGTGTTTCGTTTGAAAGTTTAGCAATGCATTGGAATAAAAAAAACTAATATACAGGGTACTTAGTATGAACGTGCCGTATCACAGTTGTTTTTTTCAAATAGAAGGACATATATTGTTTTCCATGTTCGGAATCTGTCAGAAAAGTACAAAAATCCAACAATGGATCTGTTCAACCGTCCCCAATTTCAATAAAAACTCATTTGTAAAGCTTGTTTCGTTATGTAAATATTTTGAGAACATATTTTTCTCATTATCAAATGTATTTCTCTTTTACGTCCGCTCTATATATGTCTGAATCCTGGAAATATATTTCGTGTTTATATTACTTATTGACGCTAATTTCTCTTGTATTTTATCTCTTTATCAACCGTAGTCTCACTGATCACCAATCCCAGAATTCAGTTCTTGTGCAACCCGTACATACACTCCTTTACTCGTCTGTCAGAGGTAGAAAAATTGCATGAGTGATGATATTGCACCATTGCAATGTACACAGGCTACCTGATGATCAGTATTTGAAGAACAATCCAGTGAAAAAATTGCTGAGAATGGTGGTTATATGACTGGTTATATGTTGTTCGATAATCATTATCATTTCAGTAGAAATAAACACTATCTAAAAAAGATTATATTCTAGTTGCGTTTCAAATATGTGTCAAGTACTCCGTACGGAAAATGTAATGCATATGATAAATTCCTAGTCCTATAATTCTTTGGATGAACCTTGATTGGGATTGA